GTGTGTGTGTGTGTGTGTGTGTGTGTGTGTGTGTGTGTGTGTGTGTGTGTGTGTGTGAGAATCTCTCGTAAAGTGCAAAATGAGTACACGCACGTGCGTATTGTATACACAGCACAAACACGTTTCACACTTTGTTTCACATCTCTCTCCCTCTTTCTCTCTCTGCCTTTTTTCTCACCACTTTGTGCTCTTCTCTTGCAGACGTTCGGAATTCGACGGTAACTCGACGGAGGACAAAGTGGGCGACGATGCTTCGAGAGAGCGCGAACATTTCGCGACAGAGTAATACGCCGGACGGATTGATGGCCGACGTGTAAGGTAACAGGAAGCGATAAAGTATTGCGCGAGGAAGTACGGTAAACGACGGTTTCGTGGCGCGCGCGTATCAACGCGCACTTCCTTCATTTCACAGAAGTGGTATGAAGGGCTCTGAGATTAAAAATCAATTACGGGAAAACAAAGGACTTATAAGAGCCAAGGAAGTGGTTAATGTACTTTTTGTATATATTAATATAAAATTTCTCTTTCGCCCTCCCACTTCCTTGTGCTTAACTTTTATAGATCCTTCATTTCAGCTGAGAGTTTAAAAAAAATACCTTTTATCGATCTTCCGCTGGATGTTAGGGAGAACCTTAGCAGAAAACAGAAAGGCGGAAGCCAATCAGAATTTGCTTGTAGAAAAGCAGAAGCCAGTCGATCATCTGGCCGTCGGCACAAGTTTTGATTGGCTTCTGCTTTTCCGCCAAGGTGTGAATATGCTTTTACATGAGAAACGCGCGGGGTGAAAAGAGCGAGGTGGTCCAGAAATATACGTCGATTCCCGGAGCGATTCTCCGGAGCCTCGCGAAAAGAATCTCGGCGAGTCGCAATCACTAAATGGATCAAACTTAAATTTAAATTGCTATTCCACCGTGCACGCGACTTCGTCGTTTCACGTATTACCACGGGAATTGCACGTGATCGCGAGAGTTCGTTAATAGAGACTCTCTCTCTCTCTCTCTCTCTCTCTCTCTCTTTCTCTCTCTCTGTCTTGTTCTGCTGTTTCCGATACGGTAAACGCCGCGTCAACTCGCGTGCACGGTGACTGATGGTGATCTAGAATGAAAATCGCCACGAAAGCTCGCCGGTTGTCTCACGTCTCCGATGGACAGAGGCTCACCGTCGTTCGCGATGCATCCACGATATATCGCGTGAATTCTCAAGTCTCGTGCATGATTGGATCGATCTCAACGAGCTACAATTTAACCCTCTGCGAGTTAAACTAATGTATTTTTTAAACTAGAGCAGTTGATCGACAGATTCAAAATCTATAAAATACCTCCTCGGAGTTGTCCAAGTTTCTCACGAAATTTCGAATAACGTAACTCTCTCTCTCTCTCTTTCTCTAAGAGCCCAAAGTTAATCGCGATTAAGACGATTATCTCAAGCTTCGGGCGCTTCCCTGTTAACCCTCGATTACCGATCACTCGCGATGTTCGTGATCATTAATCACGTATTGATTTGCTCGCCGATCGCAGATAGGTAGGTCATTAATTTTATCACGTTTCGCCGAAGCGTGCCTTCAGGCGGTGGAAAGAAGACGAACGAGATAAGGAGGAGGAGGCGGAGGAGGAGGAGGAGAGGAGGAGGA